ACACACACACACACACACACACACACACACACACACACACTTTTGTCCTCACTGCCAAACTCATAACATTTTCATAACTTTTGAATTCATGAACATGCACAGCACATAATATTATGATGCAACCACAGTCAGAGGAAAGTCTGTGGTGTGCTTGTTTTTCACCGCATGCATTGTCAGGCAGCTACAAAGGGAACTGAGAAACGCCCATCTTGGCTTGTATGGTGAATAAATTTACATACTCTTTATGTAGCATCCCCCTCCTTCCCCCCCCACCCCCTCCTACAAGCCCAACACAGCCTCACGCCCAATGCAGTAAGCTGTCATCTCTTATGTACAAGTACTTACTCTAAGTCAGTATTTAACGCCACATTCAGCACAACATCTACTGAAAAAGGCAACCTGGGTTGAATGGAATACAGCGTTCCACACTTGATGTACAGGAATTTAATTTCGGTCTTTAGTATGCAATGGTCAGAAGCCAAACCATTACACTATACCGGTATGCGTCATGACACATAGGAATCAAGGAGTCTAATGGTATCTTTTGGCTCGCTTGCTAGAATATTGCTACCAAAACAGGTAAAATCGTAGACTATATGAAAATGACAAGTGCACAAAGTTTTTTTTCTCAAAGGACGATGAACTCTGGCTGGAACCCCCATCAGAAACATTGATGTGATGTCATTCAAACAGACCTTGGAAGGTGGAAATTGAAGAGAAGGGCTGAAAAAGATAATAGTTTTGCTCTGTTGTAGACTCAATTTCAGCTATACGAGAGGTGGGCAACTTTGATCCAGCTCGTTGGGGGCAACCTGAGCTGAATGTTATAGAGCAAGTTGGTATCCTAGCAGAAAAACAGTAGAGGTGCTCGATAAAATAAACTTAGAAATTTGGGCACGGAAAACTCATGTCTTTATTCGTGAGGCCAAAAGCATAACCATTACACCAAAAGAGGCTGGTGCAAGCTACCTACTTCCTCCGCAGCCAGCCCCCCCCCCAAAACAAACAAACAAACCAAACAACAAAAATACCAATCAAAACAAATAAAAGCAAACAAGAACAACAACAAAACAACCCAACAACAACTGCAGAAACACAAAGTCAAGCCACATGGTGCGCGTTGTTGTACCTATCTGGGGGAGCTTTGGGGCCAGAGCCGGACTGAATCAAGGGCGTCTCCTCCGGATCCTCCTCCTCCTCCTCCTCCTCGTAGACTTGTTCGTACGCCATCAGCTCTAGCTCACAGTTCTCCTCAGCCTCTATCCTCGCTTCAGACTCTTCATGTCACAAAGGGGAGCTAAAACCAAAGGAAAAAACATGTTTTACGGTATAAGTTACAGAAACCTGCACATTCCCTCGAAATCCAAAGGATATTAGAGGAAGGAAAGAGGTAAAAAGTAAGTAAAAGGTAAAAGTTTCACAGCGGGCAAGACAAAAAAAAGAAAAAAAAGAAAAGGAATAAACATAATTTGAGTTCGCTCTGGTATCTGCATAAAGCTCTCGACAGAGAAATAAAGGCAAGTTGCCAGAATGCAAAAAATGTTATCTCCAACTCGTCCCTTTCCTCCTGGTGGGACATTAAAAAATAATGAGGAGCGTAAAGGCAAAAATCCTCAATGCCATCAACATACCAACGCTCACACACCCCTGCCAGGCTTGGTCCCTGACAAAAGCCTTTGAGCGGAAAGTGGTCACCTGTTTAGTTTTAATAAGAGTTTTACACCACTTTCAACACAATTGGGTCAAATAAGTGCCGAAGATTAAAAACTCTTACAAGAGAGTGACAAAACACAAAAAAAGGAAGGAGGAGACAAAAAATAAGAAGGAGAGATGTTGTTGTTGTTTTCAAATCCCTTTAGCTGCGAGCATTTCGCTCTTGGCGGCGCAATGTCTCCCAAGAAGGAGAGATAAGGAACAAAGATGTTTGATAGGAAAGAAGGAGCAAACCACACCAGAGCACCCGTCAACCATCTGCATGGTCACCTGTGAAATGAATGCGCCAGGAGAGCAGCAAGTAAGACCAAGAGAGACATGAGCAGAAGTGAGCTCATCAGTGACATGGTGGGAACAACACATCCGGCAGCTGAGGACAAAGTGGTTTATTCTTCTCACCAGGATGTCTCCCGAACAGCCATCGCTTTGAGCTTACAACACGTAATTCTCTGGACAGACAGACAGACAGACAGGCAGGCAGGCAGGCAGGCAGACAGAGATATATAGATAAATAGAGGGGGAGAGAGAGACAGACAGAGAGTTGGACAGAGACAGAGAGACAGAGCGAGGGGGAGGGCGGGAGAGACAGGGCGAGGGGGAGAGAGAGAGAGAGAGAGAGAGAGAGAGAGAGAGAGACAGAGACAGAGAGAGAGAATACAGTCAAAAATACAGACACGCACACTCAAAGATTGAGACACACACAGTGAGAGCGAGACAGACAGACAAGACAGACAGACAAGGATTTTAATATATTCAGGTGACTCGCTCTACACAGAGAAATAATACAGTGATAGCCAAATTGGCGACAAAAAGTTGAGAACAACAGCGACGCCGCAGGTAAGTAGAGACAGTGCCCCCCACCACCACACACACCAACGACCAACAACTTTGAACAACAGTGTCGTTCAACTGGCCTTCTAAGCGCCGGGACAGAGGAATACCACGTGGGTTTTAGATCTACTCGCCAGCTCATCACAGAGGTGGAATAGCACACAAACAAGATGACTATCCCGCTGGGTTGATCGACGTCGGAGGTACAAAAGAACAACAACAAAACAAACAAAAACAAAACACGCCTTTATCGGGACCTTTTCTATTCATAGAGATTGTTTATTGATCGATCATAAATGTTTTATGCCCCCACCGACACAATAGACACAATTTAGGAGGCTGGCTGCTTCGACTTTGCCTGTCTAGGGTTAATAATTCAGACCCAACTCGGATGCAAGTACCTCCATCTTCCGCCACAACGACCAAGGTCACAGCCTACTGCGCCACACTGTCCGACAATGAGAACTGGCTACCTTAGAAATACAAAGTCCTATCTGACATTAATTTTTGGCCGCTTTGAATTTGTAAGACCATGAGGTCAGAAACAAAATATTATTATTCTATCTGCTCTATCAAAACCATAAGAATATTCAGGGTCGTTATCAAGATATTCGAAGAAATGCGTTCGAAAAAGCGTGACATACTGTGAAACTAAAGAATTTTGACGTCAAATTTCTCAAAACTAGGTAAACAGTGTTGATTGGGGCGTTAAACCTATACCATTTCAAAACTAGGTACTGAGGAGATAGTACTTTGTAATTCTGAGTAGCGAGCTGGCAGCACTGACGTACGTGTAATTAAGTGTAGGCTGATAACCAGAGACTGCTTTTGACTCTTGATGCAAGCACTGAACCTCGATCTTCCGAGAGGGGGGGGGGGGGGGGGGGGCTCTTGTGGTCTAGAGAATGCGGTGTTCGCCTCTCATTCAATAGGTCCCGAGTTCAAAACCTGACAGCGACAGAACATTTTCTTCTCTACAATTTTCTCCTTTCATCTCCTTTCCTGCTCTGTGAACATGTTCTGCCGTCTGCTTTCGTCTCCACTTTCTGCTCCCTCTCCCCTACCTCCCCTTTGCCCCTTCCTCTAGGCACCTGATTCTTTCTGCAGCCTTTCTACTGCTACTCCTCGGCTCCTTCTTACTGCTGTCTTTCAGCCACACCCCCGATCTACCCCATGCATTCTCGGACAAGGGCGAAAAATCTCGGAGATCCCGTGTGCAATTTGCGCGCGTTAAAGATTCCTCAGAGGTCCCGAAATCAATACGAGTAAGCTTCGGCCGCCACACGGGAAAAATTCAAAATTCCTATAAAACTGAAAATAATGAGTGTCCTGCGCGCTCACAAGACCCTAATCAGTTGCGAGCGCCATAAAAACACTGACCCCCCCCCCCCTTCCACAATGGCCGGCAATGACAGCTTATGGTGGCTAATGACAGCTGTAGGGTGACGTGTGTCAATTGGTAGCACTGATGTAGGTGTAACTGATTGTGGACTGATAACCGTGGAATGCTCACGGCTTTTGATTCAAGTACAGCGCGCAATCGATGGCAGGCTGATTACACCTATGGGGCTCTTCAGGCACTTGACCCGTGGAAACTGTATCGCTCTCATCTCATCTCTCATTGACGCGTAAGCTGATGACAATAGGAAAGGATTGTAAGGGTGACTCGGCGCGATAACGGGTATTTCTGCCAGTCTCGTCGTATAGTTTAAGTTTTTAGCATCGACCTATTATTAGCCTAATAATAGGTCTATGGTTTTTAGTTTTAATTTCATTTAGAGTTTTACGGCACTTGCAACACAATAAAATCGTATAAGTGCCGAGAAACAGATGTGTTTCAAGCAATGAGGTTGTAAGGCCCTTGGTTTCAAGAGAGTAACAAACACAAAAAAGGACGGAAGAGAGATAAGGACGATAGGTGTTTGATAGGAAAGAAGGAGCAAACAACACCAGAGCACCCGTCAACCTCCCACTTAGTATTTAGTAAGACAAGACAATAGCAGTATTAGCAGTTTGACATAAAATAAGGAGCAAATCACACGACAGCGCCCGCCAACCACCCACCATTTGCCAAGAACAAACCAGGATACTAATCACACCGATAAGATTTATATTAAAAGAATTACATTCGAAAAAAATTGACATGTGAAACTCAACATTTTTTACGTCAAATTTCCAAAACTAAGTAGGCTACTGAGCAGATAGAACTTTGTACGTGTTATTCTAGGGTAGCGAAGTGGCGTCCTTCATCAACCATCTGCACGCCGGTCTACCAAACTGTCAAAAAACAACCCAAGACTAAGAAAATAACCACGCTGCTTTATGATCGTGTAACGTACGTACCAGTTAGATCGTTTAGCTGAAGGGGTGCTTCGATCCCGGTGTCAGGGCCAACCCGAACTGTGTAAGACACAGCATCCCAACAGACAGACGCAGATACTCGATACAATGGCAAACATAAAACACGCGCTCATATGACCGTATTATGCAGCTGCCAGCGCCGTAAACACTTACCAAACCCCCCCCCCCCAAAAAAAAAAAAAAAAAAAACCAACCCCACACACACTTAAAGCGGGGATTTTTAAAAAATAAACTTTTTCTTTTTTTTTCTTTTTTTTGCCCCGTGCAAAATGTTAGTTACGCGTACGACTTGAAATTGTTAGACGTTGTGGTTGAAAAATTCAAACATGGAAATCAAACCCACGTCTTTTGCTTACATCCCCAAAGAACTTACCAGTACACCACAAACACCAGTCCAAACATATGTTTCTTTGTTTGTTTAAATAAAGAGATAGAAGCACATCGGTGCAATGATGGTCATTTGGTGCTGGGGAAAAGTAGTAAGACAGACAGACAGAAACAATAGAGAGAAAGTAAAGAAGCAGGACCTACCAATGACGCCCTCCATCTACCTGCTTCACCAAGATAAGAGGAGCCGACCAAACACACTAGAGTCCTGGTTAACCACTAGGTCATCCAATGACCGACTCCGCAGCCAGATATCAAAACAAGATTAAAATTTCAAGGGGGGGGGGGGGGGGCTCTCTCCTGGTCTAGAGCTACGGTGTTCGCCTCTCAATAGATCCGGGTTCGAAACCTGACAGCGACGGGGAAAAAATCTTCTTCCGCCCCCTTCCCTGCCCTCTAACAATGTTCTGTTGTCTGCTTTCGTTTCTACTTTCTGCCCCCCCCCCTCCTCCTCTGGGCTCCTAACTCTTTCTACTTTCTGCAGTGTTTCTGCTGCTTGTCCTTGGCACCTTCTTACTGCTGTCGTTCACCCACACCCTGATCTTAGGGCAGGTAGAACCTAACATCTAGCCTTCTCGGATAGACAAAAAATCTCAGAGGTCCCATGTGCAAGTTGCACACGTTAAAGAATCCTTGGTGGTCGCCATCCGGGCAAAATTCAAAATTAATTCCAACCACACTGAAAATGTGTAATGTTTCATGCGCGCTCATATGAACTTATGAGGTTGCAAGCGCCGTAAAACACTTACTCAAGCAACAACAACAACAACAAAAAACAAAACATTTGTTTCGTCTGGGAGAAGAGAAGCAAACCGACACAATAATAGTCATTTAGTCCTGAAAAAAATAATACATGTAAACACAACAAACAGAAATAAAGAAGTGGGACCCACCACCAGAGGCGTCCTCCAACCACCCATCAAGTCGCATTCAACTTCATCGCGTAAGTGGCTTCGAAACAGGGGGTCAAATAAACACAACGACAGCAAACGTAACGTTGATTTA